CTTTCTCTTCTTCAGCTCCTCTTTATCCTCCCAATTAATTTCTTCAATTCTAGGGACATCACAGCCCATTTGTCTGTGAGGCTCCCCTTACGCTTTGCTTCTTGTAGATAATCTGTCCTGATTCAGGACAATGGATAAAGTGTGAGCACACACTGAAAGCATTCTCAAATGTGTAAAATGTAAAGTGATCATTTTTATTACCATTATTATCATCACCAATAAGAAAACTGAATATTTGATTCTCTAGTTCTTTAAAGGCAAACTTCAGCACTTGCTTAGCCTACATAAAGCTCTGGGTTCAAGTCCCAGCCCCACACACACAAAAAGAAAAGACTCTCTTCATGAAATATTAACAAATATTTCACCAGGATGATTGGCTATGGAGATAATATTTCATTTCAACAATGTGTAATACATTTTCTACATTGAACTCCAAACAAAGTAAATATAGTTTTTAAGAGGCCCATTATAATGCATGGGTCATTTAAAAAAACATAATAACTGGCTTGAACTGAAGTGCTTGTGGTTGGTTGTAAGCATGCATTGTGAGAGGCCTCTATGAAGTACTGGGGCAGTGTGAGTAACAGGTACTCCTGGGTCTGCCTTGCTAGTGTCTGTGTGTAACATTAAGGGTATTGTAGGCTGGCGTTCTACCACTGAGTTCCATCTCCAGGCCTAGACCATTATGATGTAAACATTAATAAGGATTCTCTGTTTTAGAACCTATCTTACCTCAGTCAAGCAAAGGAGTATAAATTGTATACCTTGAAAGAAAGATCAGACAAAAACAAGAAATTCAGCTCTAGACAAGTACGCTTTGATACTTTGCTCTCCCAAGTTGTGTTATTATTTTAGTTTGTATTTATGCACTGTGCCTCTATAATTGCCCTTATTAGTATTGGAAGGAATAGGAAAGATCAGAAATACTTAGTGAAAAATTTACAGACTTATTTACTGCCGGTGGCAGATGGAGGCTGTGGCTGTTTAATTCTATACACTTATTTTTTAATTCAAGTAGTCATTTTACCCCCTATATATTTTTTCATGTTGTGTTTACTTAAACAACTAGATAACACATTAGGAAAGAAAAAATTTAATCATACAGATTGGGAACAACAACAAGATTAACAGTAAGTCACTATTTTAAGTGACAAGGTGGCATAGTTCAAATCTTGTCATTTCACATTAAATAATAAAATCTAAAGCCCATTTCAAAGACGAACTAAATTCCCAGTCTGAAAGTAATTGCTGTTCCTTGTCCTATGTGTATACATTATCAATATAACCAAGAAATAATTGCAGCTGGGCCCAGATCATCATTAAGCTATTGGTTATTAGCCATTAAAAGGGAAATGTTTACTAACTCATGGCAACTAGTTTCCAGAAAGAAAAGCAGGGGTTTGATTTGAATTCCTGTCTCCCCACCTATGACCAATCAAGATTACCTACTTTTCCTTGAAAGTGTCAGGAGCTCCTATTATAATCAGGGTAATGATAAAGAGGGGACAGCAGTTGCTATGAGTCAAAGAAAAATATCTGGGCAGTTGAGGGCCCTCTATCTATCAAGGGGAATTTGCAATGTTACCTCTCTTCAATACCATACAGAGTTGCAGATTTTGTGAAGCACTTAACCAAAATGGAAGGATTTAAAAACAGAATGCCAGATACGACACAATCTCTCTTTTTTTTCTTCCAAAATATCAAGATATTTTAGTTTCATTTCAGAATTTTCTAGTCTTAAATTCTTAAGCATGCAGCAGAGATGATTTTCTCTGGATAATACTTCTGAAAGGATGATTAGTGTGGACAGCTTAACATATTCACCACATTATAGATCTCTTAAACTTAAACACACTTACTGGAACTGAAATATATTGTACGCAATTATAGTGAAACTAATACTTAACTAATTAACAATATTTATAAGCTATATTGAGTTTCAAAATAAGTTCAAGGGTCTGAAATACCAAACATTTGGAAATTGGAAATATCTAGTTAGATGTTTGTGTATCATTCTAAGAATGTAAGAAACTCTGTGAATAGGAGGCAAGTTCTCTCTCTCTCTCTCTCTCTCTCTCTCTATATATACA